GACTTTAATCCCTGCACCACCAGGGAGGCCCTCTTTTAATGGATGAACAAACCTAAGGCAAATTGCTCTTTGGGGCAACTTAGCAGAGAGGATGCCAGGCTGAGGCCTTGTTTAACCAGCTGATACTATATGTGATGACCCTGAGGTGGTCAAGATGGGAAGGGGAGGGGAGAGGGGAGAAGAGGGGCAGGGTAATCCCGAGACCTGTGTTCGCTGTGCTGTGACTGCCGTGTCTTTGCAGCTTGTTTCCCCTTTCTGGACTCAAAATTCTTTGCTTCATGATACAGCTATACATCTAGAGAAATGGAGCTCCCTTATGGGTTTGCGCTCTGGGGCTCGGTGAAGTCAAGGAGGGTTGTCTTATAGGGCCGATTCTGGCTTTGCTGAGAAAGGGAGATTGTCTTTGGCTCTGGGCTAAAACGCTTACAAAGGGGCAGAGGAACTTCTTCCCTATGTTTATCAATTTATCACTCTTTGAAAATAACTAGCTATGGGCTTTGTTATATGTTCTATCAAATGTGCATTTTCTATTTCATTAATTTCTTTTTTTAAAGATTTATTTATTTATGGGGTACAAGCCAGAGGTGTGGGGGGTGAGAGGATTCACCAGAGACAAAGTGGGGAACAGAACAAGCAGACTGACTGAGTAGAAAATGGCAAAATTTTGCTAACAAGAAAAAGACAAGACCAAGTTGATGCTGAAGGGTTGAAGGGTGCTCCGCTCAGTGCGCAGGGCTGAAAGTTTGGGTCAGAGCTGCTCTGTGGTGGTCACATTCAATATGTTGCTATCTAGGTAACATGGACCCTGGTTATCCTCCAAAGCACTGCTATTTGCGTGCCCAGAGTAACTCTTAATAAAAGACCATTTTCTGCCTCTTTCCTTCTGAATGACCAGAATTCAGTTGTTAGCCAAGTTGGCTTCTGCAGGGTATGTCATGAGACTGGATGACTCTGCTATGACCTCAGGATAGAGCCTGGAAGATGTAGTCCGATAAATACTTTCCTATTGTCAGCTTATTAGGCAATCAGAGACCTTTTTTTTTTTTTTGTGGGACCCTCGCCGGCAGCCAGGGAACGAACCGGCGCTGCAGAGGCTGCGGGCAGCCTCGCAGCCCAGTGCTCAACCGCTGCGCCACCGGGGAGGCCTGGCAATCAGAGACTTTTAATAGAAAGCTAGACAAAACTAGTCTTCTACCCAGTGGTCTGCCATCTAGTTCTTCTTTCTCATGTTTAGTATTGCAAAAATCTGACCTAGTGGAACGATTTAGCATTTAGTTACCAGGCAATCTCACTGAGGGCTCTAGGGGTGGCCCAACAATCTCTGATCACTGCAAATGAACTCTCCTGTGTGGCTTCTCAATTGTTTTACTGTATTTGTTCTTTGGGCTTTGCAAATGTGTGTTGGTGTTCCTGGGCGAGGCAGAGAGCAGAGATGAGCCCAGCCACTAGGAGAGCTGCGAGGTTCTTAACGACAGAAGCACTTGACTTGTCAATTTGTAGTGCTTTCTACCCACTCCCAGCATCCTCTGTCCATCTGTCCTCGAGAAGGAGCTCCCTCCAAGAGTCCCCATTTAACTACTCAACGATAATTCCATGTAATGCTTCTCCGCTCACTTCTCTCAGAGAAACCTGTGCTCATGAGACTTTTCAGCTAAGTTCCTGGGGAATTTGCTGAATGTCAAAGGACAAATTCTAGCAGAAGAGAAGCTGGGCTCTGTGGTTGGAGCTTTGGCAGGGAGGGAGGCCCAGCGTTGGGAGTAAGCCATCACCCACGTGCTGAGTCCTCACTTCCTGACCTGTGTCCATCAGGGCCCTACTCATGGCTCATTTACCAAACCTGGGGCCACTGCTCATACCTGGGCTGACAGGAAATCAGGATGTATGGCTGAAATAGTCTATTCTTGTGTTTGGGGTTTTTTGCAAATGGGACCCAAAACTTGCTCCTTGTGTCCCAATCAATTAAGGAAACCTGCATGGGGAAGAGAGTGTGGAACTGGGAAGCAAGAGATTTAAGTCTTAATTTTGGCTCCCCCAATATTGAGTAAAACAGAATCCTTCCAACTTCCAGTTTTCCTGAACCACAAATCAGGGGGGCACAACCTCTATCCCATGTCTTCAAAAGATTCTTAGAAAGACTGAATGAGATATTGTATGCAAATAAAAAATGTTAAAAAGTAATTTATATGTGCTTATTATTATTAAGCATCATTCACATTTAAGACCATAACCTAGAAACTTCAGAGGATAAGAGTTAAATGAAAATAATACAATTTCTGGAGCAAACCTTGATCCCTGCATCTCTCTCCTCAGGCTTCCGGTTCTGGAGTTCAGAGGACTAAAGCTGGTGGAAGCTTCCCACAGGGGAAGTCCCTCAGGGTACAAGTAGAATAACTACCTGGAGGGGGAATTTGTGCAGAATCTTCACTAGGCATTTACAGGCAACCAGGCAGCTGTTGGGTGTCCAGTTAACAAACTCAGGAGTGAAGATTGGAGGACCAGGGACAGTCCTGACAGTAATGTTCAGGCAGACCTAGAGCAGGGACTGGGCTAAACCCAGAACCACCTCACTCCAATTATCTGGATGTTGACAGGACTTTGCTCAGAGCTCATAGGCTGTGGCCCACACCAGCTGTGGTATACCACCGCAGGCCAGACAGAATCCCTCACACTGACTAAAAAAGTGATTTCAGAAAATGACTTTTTTGTTCCTAAGGCAAGAAGAAGAGACTACACAGATAATTTTCTATTTGTGTTGTCTGATAGAAGATACATTGTTTATTGGGGAAGCAATCAAAAAACACAAACTCAGATGAACACTAAATTATTTCATTCTGAATAAGCTGGATGAGAGAGAGAGAGAGAGAGAGAGAGAGAGAGAGAGAGAGAATAATCAGCTTAAGGCAGAGAAGGGAAAAGGGTAGAAGGGGTGCTAACTAGGGATGGGGGGCTCTGTTGAATGTGTCTCAGCCTTTTCTTTATTACTTGTTAGTCTCAAAAAAAGACATTCTGGAGGCTTTCCTGGTAGCCTGGGGGTTAAGTCTCAGTGCTACCATCTCAGCACTGAGACGGCCTGAGTTTGATCCCTGGCCAGGGAGGTGACCCACACGGCGCAGCAGATCTCTTCTGTCTCGCCCACTGCTCCCCTCAGCAGTGTATTTCATCAGTCTGCCTGTTCTATTCCCCGCTCTGTCTCTGGTGAATCCTCTCAACCACCACCACTCCCACACCTCTGTCCTGTACCCCAGTTCTTCTATGCAAAAATAAATAAAAAATCAAAAAAAAAAAAAAAAAAAGAGGGCCTCCCTGGTGGTGCAAGGGGTTAAGCAACACACTATGAAGCTATCTGCAGCCTCTGCTGCACGAGTTCGATCCCTGGTTGGCCGGGGAGCTACGCACATGGTGCAGCAGACCTCTCCTGACTCACCCGCTGCTCGCTTCAGCAGTATATTTCAGTCAGTCTGCCTGTTCTGTTCCCCAGTGAATCTGTATCTGGTGAATCCTCTCACGCCCCACATCTCTGGCCTGTGCCCCAGCTCTTGTATGCATAATTAAATAAATCTTTAAAAAAAAAAGACATTCTGAAATCCTTGGGCAGTTTCTTAAAAAGTCAAACAGTTTACCCTGTGACTAAACAATTCCACTCCTAGGTATCTACTCAAGAGAAAGGAAAACATCTGACACAAAAAATTGCAGTGGATGTTCAGATCAGCATTATTCACAATAGCTCCAAACTAGGAACAATTAAAACACTCACCAGCTGACAAACGTGGTGTCACCAGCAAACAAAATGTGGTCTGTTCCCACAGTGGGATACTACTCAGCAAGAAAGAGGAATAAATTCCTGAACATGCTACAACATGTGTGAACCTCAAACACATTTTGACAAGTGGAAAGATGTCAGATGCAGAAGACAGCACATGCTGGTCCCAGTCACATGGAATTTTTAGAAAAGGCAAAACTACAAGAGATAGAAAATGGATTAGTTGTCTGTTGTTTGGGAGGGAATGATGATTTCCTGCATGAAAGAATTTGTGGGGTGAAGGAGTGTTCTAAAACTGGATTGTGGTGATGCCTGAACAACTGTATAAATTTAGCAAAACTCCTCAAATTGCAGTTTGATATGGGTGAATTTTATGGAATGTAAATCATACTTCAGTAAAGCTGCTTAACACAAGATATTCTGCAGGTCCTGTTAATCTGGGGCTAACAATCTGGGGCTAACAATCTGGGGCTAACTGACCATATTAACATTTTTGTTTAGGTCATTCCAATCCTTTCCTGTGGAAACATACACCTGTATTGCTCTATTATGTATGTGATGGGCCTGAACTGGAGCAGATGTTCTGGGTCAAACGCTGCCTCTGTCACTTACAGCTGTATGTCCTGGTAAGTGGGAGAAGATGGTACATTCCTCCAAGTTGTTGTGAGATGAATCAATTAAGAATGGGGCATCAGAATGGGGCATGGCATAAGGCAAGGGGTCAACAGACGAGGGCTCCACCCCCATGGCAGGCTGTGCATGTGTCCCTGCAGATCCATGTGCGTGCACAGCATACACACTCACGTGGACAGTGCTGACTGACGTGTACCGGCCCTGCTGAGCATGTGGTATAAGCTGTTCTTATGTCTAAGCACACAAAATGGAACCAAACTTAAGGAGATCTGCTTGTTTCACACAAGAGATCATGTAAGTGCTTTCGTATAAGCAAATACAGACCCACAGGCCATTCGAGGCTATACTACCGTACCAAATTCTGTAGTCTGCAACTATTGATCATTTAGGTTGTTTGTATAATCATTTTGAGCTGTCTGTATGGGTGCCTAGTAGATATCACAGAAATTCAAAAGGAAGTCAAGGATCAGAAGAACAGCCGTCCACTAGATCAAACCAAGACTTTCCATTCCTTTGAACTTCAAGTTAGTGAAGTGGCTTATTCAGCCCACTCAAGTCTAGTTATGATCTAAATCAGAACTTATAATGTAATACCAGCCCTACATTAAAAACAGTACCACTGGCTGAGTACAAATTTTATTTAACAAAAAGACATGATTTTCCCAGAATAAAAATCAGAAACAAATGGAAAGCTGCTATTTTAACTCTTTACAGAAACACATACGTGCTACCCGCCCCCCAACACCCCCCCATCCATGAGACCCCAGACAGCGGTGGGCCAGGAACCGCGAGGCTGCAGGGAAACCTCAAATGAAAACACAAACTCTATGTTCCCCAATCAAACCCTCAAATCAAATATTGGCATTACAAGTGGGAAATGTGAGGTATGTGCAAGAACCCCAAGGGGTCACAGTCTTCAGCCATGATCCATGGTCCGCTGGCGAGTGGTGATCCGACAGGTGATGACCGGCAGTCGCGACTACTTCAAAACCGGCTTGTCCACGAACTGCACCGCGCACAGCTGCGGGTCCCCGTCACAGGGCGCTCGCTCCAGCTCCAGCACCGTCACGGAGTTTGGGGCCGATGTCACCAGGATGTGCCGGGGCACAAACAAGGTCAACTGGGGACCCCAAGCTGGCCAGTAACGGCCAAGGTTAAAGCCATTAATCCATACCTGACCCTGGAGAAAGACAGAGAAAAGGATCAGCTCTAGCTGTACCAACAACCCCCAGGAACAGGAGCGCCTGGCCACATGGGGGCCGCAGTGGCAGAGGCAGGAACTGTCCCCATAGCAGGGCTCTCCCACCACAGGCCAGGCCTGGCTCCAGCATCCTGCGGGGATGACTGGACACATTGGGGAGGTGGGTGGGAGAAATAGTAAAAATCTGCCCCACACAGCCACGCCTGCATCAAGAAAACATACACATGGGTCCCTCTGGCTTCATCAGTCACACCCGTCTGTGGGGTAAATAATTCATCAGCTTTTTACACCACTAGCCTCTGTGGCTATCACCGGTGGTCTTGAGCGTGTTAAGGCAGAAAGTGTATAGGCGTGGGCACGCGTGCCTGATTGTGGACACCTGGAGCATGGGTGTGTGCGCATGTGCAAGTGGGCACACCCGCGCCTAGGAGAGAGGGGATAAAAAGGCGGTGTCGCCCTGGGGGTGGGGCTTGAGTTGCTGTCTCTCTGCTGGTCTGTTTCCTGCATGCTACTATGAGCCTCTTAAGTAGCCAAGGGCAACAAAGTTTTTTTTTTTTGGAATTAAAAAAAAATTTTTGCGTAGAACTGGGGTGCAGGCCAGAGGCGCGGGGGCCGGGGGGGTTGGGGTGTGAGAAGATTCACCAGGGGCAGGGTGGGGAGCAGAACAGGCGGACCCTCTGAAACACACTGCTGAGGGGAGCAGCAGGCGAGACAGGAGAGGTCTGCTGTGCCATGTGGGTCAGCTCCCTGGCCGGGGATGGAACGCAGTCCCTAGCAGTGATAGCGCTGAGACTGAACTGCTAGGCCAGCAGGGAGGCCCCCAAAGTTCCCTTTTGAACTGTTAGAAGCAGTGGTGAACCTACCCGGCCTGGGAGAGTTGCACAGCACTGTGGCAACTTTGCGTTTCTGAATCTCATCCCGGGTGCCTCCAGATACCAGCCCCTCCTGATGCCTGTCTGGAGACTTGCCAACCTGCCTCCTCGGGAATGAACTTTCCTTCCTTGCCCCTTCTGGGGTGGGTCTTACCGCACTGTCGGTGGACAGGGGTGGGCACAGGGCCTGTAGTCTGGGGACACATGTCTTAGGAAGCAACTCAAACTCTCGAGGAGGATGTGGAGGCTGGGGGCAAGACAGGCCCATCATGGGGGTGTCTATGCTGTGTTTTGGGGGTTTTCACGCTAACAAGCGAGGCTGGGAACTGCAAATTTCAAGGAGCACAGGAGAGCCTATAAGCCGCAGACAATTTCTGTGAGTAGGACAAGCTGCCTCCATGACAAAAGAGAAACTCCTAGAGAACAGGGACGGTGTCTGGGTGTGTGTGGCTTAAGGTCCGAACAGCTGGTTGAATACAAAGAAAGAGGGAAGGAGGGAGGTCATGCACACCTCACAGAAAGCAGGGAGAGAAAACGTGGGAGAGGAGGTGTAATGAAAAGGGAGGCACGCCAGCTCCTTTTCACAGCCTGCTGTCAGCCTGTACGGGCCTCGTTTTCCTCCCAGGTTGGGCGACCCGTGTTGCCGCTTGATACCGAGTGATGCAAAAGCACTTGGGAGTGTGAGCACGAGGCACGCACACCTACCCAGGCTGAAAAGCCAGAGAGCACGGGGCTTGTGCCTACGTGAGCACTAACACCTGGGCTGAGAAGCCGGGGTTAAAAGGGGAGTTTCCTGGGGGCTGGGGTTTGGGCTGTGTGGCTGCCTGCTGGGCTGCCTGTGTGCCTGGCCCCTGATGCAGTATTAAAGGCATGGCTCCAAAATTCTCTTTTTGAGTGCCCAACTCAACAGTGACCTTGAATCAGTCAGACCCTCCCTGCCTGGTCTGGGTGGTTGCACAACAGGGAGGATGGAATAAAGGGAGAAGGGAGGGAGGAAGAAGAAAAGAAACAGCTCCTCAAAGGGGCCCACGTATATTGGGGTTATTTGCTGAGTGCTGGCCCCAGGTGCTCCATGACACCACTGTAGTCTCTCACCCTAGAGCTTCTTCGTTGCTTACCTTTGGGTATTTTTCAGCCGCCAAATGTTGCTTTATTCTACCTCCCTCGGAATTTGTTTCCTGGGTTCAAATCTTAGTCCTGCCACTCATTGTCTCACCTTGGGCAGGTGCTGGCTCAGTGCAGGGATGAAGGTACAGGAAGAGAGCAGGGCATGGCCAGTGCTCAGCACAGCGCTGGGCACCAGGGAGTGCTCAGTGACCTGGTGCCCAGCGAGGAGAAAAGCACAGCCTTTGCGTGCCCAGGAAAGGGGGATGGGGATTAAAAACCACGTCTGTTGAAAGAGGGCGACAGTCTCACAGTTCTCATAACCGCCTGACTCTCAGCCGCAGAGATGCTCTCTATCCATCCTGCCAGGCATATGAACGAGGACAACTCTGCTAGATTTTGTATCTCTTTAAAACCTGGTGGTGGGGCTTCCCCGGTGGCGCAGCGGTTGAGCGCTGGGTTGTGAAGCTGCCCGCAGCCTCTGCAGCGCCAGTTCGATCCCCAGCCCCTGGGTGAGCGTCCCACATGGTCCTTCTGCCTGTTCTGCTCCCCGCTCTGGTGAATTCTCTTACCCTCCCGTGCTTCTGACTGTACCCAGTGCTTGCATAAATAAAATAAATAAATCTTTTTTTTAAAAAAAACAAACCTAGTGAAGTGCAGTATGAGACGAGGTGGAGGGGAGGGTGGGTTCAATGAAGGACTAGTGAGAATCACAATCTGTTTCTCTGCATCCCCAGAGCCAGCCAGTGCTGTCTTCATGTCACAGATGAAAATGGGGCTGGCCAGGCCTGCGGCAATGCTACTGGGGAGGGCGGGGCCCCTTCACTTCTGTGTCGGTTATTAATAAAACGTGGATCTTATGCTCAGGTTTCCCCAACTCCTCATGTTCAAATGCTTTGTTTTGGCAATTCTCTACCTGAAGTTGCTGCCAGATTGTTCTATACTTTGTTTTCAAGGCCAAGTAACAGAAAGTCACCTGTGTTTTGAGATGGTGGAAGTTAAATATACATTTATTTACTGTGATTTGTTCAGGAGCACATCTTACAAAAAGCCTTGTTTCCTTTATTTCAGGAAGGGAAAGTTCTATTAAAATTCTCAGTATGACTACAGAATATTTTTTATAATGAGGTATTTTGAAAAATTCTGAGTTTAATTCAACTGCATGCCAACGCCTTCCAAAGCTAGGTAATCTTCAGAGACAGTTATTCTGATCAGATAATAGAAATGTCTGGAATATTCATATTTGAAGATTCCTTATTAATGAATGTCTTTATTTTAAATCTAATAAACTGCAACCTTATTCTTGTACTTTCATTATATGCAGTTAACAAGCCAAATTGCGAACAAATAAAATATTGAAGCTATTGGTTTAAAAAGAAAAAAAATCCATGCTCAGACTACTACAGCTGCCGCACAGGTCTCCCCACTTCCTTGATTACCGCTAGAATGCAGGCTTCAAGCAGCAGCAAAATGAAAATCAGGTGACTGTCACATCTCCCTGCTACTAACCTCACAATGGCCCAATAATTTGTAAGTGTGAAAATTCACTTAAAAAGAGTCAAACTTGGGCCTCCCTGGTGGCGCAAGGGGTTAAGACGCAACCTATGAAGCAATCCGCAGCCTCTGCAGCATGAGTTTGATCCCAGGCCAGCCAGGGAGCTACCCACATGGCAGAGCAGACCTCTCCTGTCTTGCCTGCTGCTCACCTCCGCAGTGTATTTCAGTCAGTCTGCGTGTTCTGCTCCCCACTCTGTCTCTGGTGGATCCTCTCACCCCCCCCACCTCTCTGGCCTGTACCCCAGTTCTTGTGTGCATAAATAAATAAATAAATCTTTAAAAAATAAGCGTCAAACCCTTTTAAAAAAGTTCTACATTAAAAAATAGACTGATTTTTTGTTTCTCTTAAAAGCTGATGCTGAAATTAGAGAGGGTGACGTATGTGAGCGGATAAATTAAAAGCCAATATACTCTTTTTTTTTTTTTTTTTTTTTTTTAAATAGAGGCATGTTTTATTTATTTGTTTGTTTGTTTGTTTATACATGCACTGGGTACAGTCAGAAGCGCGGGAGGGTGAGAGAATTCACCAGAGCCAGAGCGGGGAGCAGAGCAGGCAGAAGGACCGAAGGACACTGCTGAGGGGAGCAGCGGGCGGCAGGAGAGGTCTGCGCGCCATGTGGGACCCTCCTCCGGTGGCCGGGGAGCAGCCGGGGATCGAACCGGCGCCGCAGAGGTCACGGGCAGCTTCGCAACCCAGCGCTCAACCGCTGCGCCACTGGGGAAAAAGCCAATATACTCTTAACGGGCTGGCATTTGTAGGTTAACACCCCTTGGCCTCTGGGTCTTCCTGTCCCAGCTAAAGTGATGCCATGGCAAAGTCTGACTTGCTCTGACCAAGTCTTCACCCCTGGGAGACTCCCCACTCTTTGCTGTTGTAACCATTACCACCTCCTCAGTGATAATAAATGTTACATTCCCAGAAATGTCTGACCTACTTTGAGAATCAGATAAATCTATATGTCTGTTTAAAATTTTCTAGATCTACATAATCCTCATAAGAGTTTGAAGCAAAACTTTCAATTCTGTTTTAAGCCGTGGTTTAAATTTTTTCAAATTTGTTTGGGAGTGCCTTCAAAAGCAACCAGCTAGGGTTGAATATGGTCTTTATCATACTCTTAAGAAGACAGTAAATTCTTGGGGGATTTTATTTTATTTTATTTTTTTTATTTTTTATTTTTTTTAAAGATTTATTTATTTATACAAGCATTGGGTACAGTCAGAAGTGCGGGAGGGTGAGAGAATTCACCAGAGCCAGAGCAGGGAACAGAACAGGCAGACTGACGAAATACACTGCTGAGGGGAGCAGTGGGCACGGCAGGAGAGGTCTGTTGTGCCATGTGGGACCCTCACCGGCAGCCGGGGATCGAACTGGTGCTGCAGAGGCTGCGGGCAGCTTTGCAGCCCAGCGCTCTACCACTGCGCCACCAGGGGAGGCCCTCTTGGGGG